ACATAATTAAATTATCGGATAACCAAAAAGTTAAGAATAAAATATAATAAAAAATAAAGATAAATTACAAAATATTAACAATAATGAGACAACATGATTGTAAATAAATCTTTAAATTATGAAAATGAGTGATTTTAATTTATAATAAATAAAATAAATAATAAATATTAATAAAATAAATTATGAAGATGATTCGTAGAAAAAAATACTTAAATTTTAGGATATAGAAATTATGATTTTTTAAATCTATAATTTTAAAAAATAAATAATAAATAAGTAAATTCACAATTTTAAAAAATAAATAATAAAAAAATAATAAATAAATAAATAAATATTAATAATTATTAAATTAACTTTAATTTTAATTCCAAAAAATTTCTTAAAAGATTTAACAACTCTAATTAATAAGATAATTAAAAACTTATAGATTTCTCTCTAATCATCTCCTCCCAAAGCCCTCCCATCTTTTCTTCTCTATACTCGTCTAAATATTTTTGTCATATTAATTTCTTTCAGTTTGTTTTTATTAAGTTTTGCAAAAAAAAATTCTTTTTATTTTATTATAAATGTTGATATATCTATTGTTTGATAAACAAATGCACCTTTATAAACATAAAATAAAAAGTGCACCGATTGCTTATTAAGAAAATATTGCACCAACTTTATTACTTTTTGAAATCACGTTATGTTAGTATTTATCAAATCATAAATATTTTTTTATTTAAAATTACTGTATAATTTCTCTATAACATAATAATATTTTTAATTAACAAAATTATTCAAAATTATTCTAACATATATTTAATATTTTTAATTAACAAAATACAATTCAAAATTATTCAAAATTATTTCTCTATAACATATATTTAAATACAATACAATTATATTAAATTTATTAATTTAATATAACTTTAAATAATCATCTAAAAAATATGGTTTAACTATATACAAAATCCACTTTAGTAATTATACATATAAAAATACTTTTACCTTTATATTAATATATCCAAATATATAACAATTCCATTCAATTTACTTTAAACCAAATTTAATCAAACAAAAATTAGTTTTATCAAAATCAATTTTCACCACCCACAACTAAACATATATTTTAAATTGAAGTCAATATTTCTAGTGGTTAGGTTAACTTAGATCATTTCTCTGACATTTTTATTTACGAGGATAAATAAGATTGCAATTAAGTTCTTCTCTAGTAAAATGTATTATATTATGTTTGAATATTTTTATGTATGAGTGTCTGAATATATATATATATATATATATATATATATATATATATATATATATATATATATATATATATATTATATATATATATATATATATATATATATATATATATATATATATATATATATATATATATATATATATATATATATATATATATATATATATATATATATATATATATATATATATATATATATATATATATATATATATATATATATATATATATATATATTGATTTTAAATTTTCAATCAGGACTCAAATCAAATATTTTTGTTGTTTTTTAACCAAATTTTATATTTTCAATCTAATTTTTGCAACTTAAAAAAATAAATAATGCATATGTATTTTTTTTAAATAAATTTAATCCTTAAAAACTACAAGTAAAACTTATATTTAAACGATTATCTAGTATATTCTAGAAACTAAACTTAGTTTAGACATATATATTAAAATATTTTTGATAATTATATATAACTTTTTTTTATCTAAATTATCCAAACAACTTGAATTAATAAGAATCAATTTTATATTAAAATCAATTCATTCAAAAATAAATAATATAAAAATTTATTTTCATCATCACATAATTTAATATACACTTTGTTGTACTAAACCTATATAATTTTAAATGTTAACAATTATCTAGTCTATTCTAAAAATAAGTTCTATTTATAAATACATATATTATATTATACACATATTTTATGTTGATTTTTTAATATAAATTAATTATTTTAAAATCAGCCAAAATCATTTCTCACCACTGCATAATCCAACACACATTTTGCTATAGCTAGTATATGTATATGGTACTTATTTTAGTTCTAAAAATCTAGATAGTTTATTATAAAAATAAAATATAATTTTAAATTCACATATTTAAATTTTATTTTATAGTTATATATGAAAAAAAATTTATCCAAATTTTCCAAATAACTTAAGTTGATAAGAATTATTTTTTATATTTATCTCAAGTCTAATCAAAATCAATTCATTCAAAATGAATTATGTTAACCAATAATGTTCTGTGCACACAGTCAAATACACACTTTGCTATAATAATCATATCTCATAATTTTAAATCTTAATAGGATGAGCTAAATTAGTGACAAATATCTTTTGAATTGTTTCTAAAACAATGTCTAAGTTGATGCTTGGTTCCAGATTTGAATTACTTACTATTGAATTTATTTTTGTAAAATTGATTTTGATATAATTAAATATTTTAAATTAGTTTTGATTTTGCCTCAATTATAATTTTAAGCTAAAATGTATAGGTTGTTAATCAAAACATTATTTTAAAAATGAAGTTTATCACTCACTTTTATATATATATATATATATATATTATCCATACACTTTGAATTAATAAGAATCACTTTTAAGACAATTCACTTAATATATGTTTAGATATCAAATACAAATGCGAAAATTTCAATTTGCAGTATTTTACTTATTTATTAGATAAATTTTAATTACTAAACTATTTGACAAAATATTTTTATATTAAAATTAATTAAATCAAAATAAATAAATTATTAACGAATTTCTTCTCATCATCACATAATCCAATATACACTTTGTTGTAATAAACCTATTATCTTGTAATTTTAAGTCTTAACAATTATCTAGTCTATTCTAGATATAAATTCTATTTATAAATACACATATTAAATTATACTTTTGTAGTTATATATGTAAAAATTAATTTTGATTGAAACTATTATTGATAAGAATAATTTTTTAAATATAATTTTATATGCTGATTTTATAAAATATATAATTTTTTATGTTGATTTTAATTATGTTTAAATCAGTCAAAATCAATGTTCAATAATTCAACAAATCTAGTATTTGTATGTGGTTATTTTAAATATAAAATACATAGTTTATTCTAGAAGTAAAATATAATTTTAAATTCACATATTTAAATATTTTTTTATAATTATATATAAAGAAATAGTTGTTATCCATACTTTTCAAATAACTTTCCAATAAAGATCATTTATTTATATTTAACTTACTTCTAATCAAAATCAACTCATTCAAAATAAATTAAATCATAATCAATGATCTCGAGTGTACATTCAAACACACACTTTGTTATAATAAATAAATCTCATAATTTATAATTTTAAATTTCAATAGGAAGATTTAAATTAATGATAAATATCTTTTAAATTTTTCTAATCAACGTTTAAATTGATGTTTAGTTCACATTTGAGTCACTATTATTGAATTTATTTTTCTAAAATTAATTTTGATAGGTTTAATTACTTTAAATTAATTTTAATTTTGTCTCCTAAATTAATTATTAAAAGCTAAAATTTATAAGTTGTTAGTCAAAACATAGTTTTTAAATTGAAGTTTATCCTTCAACTTATTTTTATCTAAATATATTAAAACATAAATAAATAAATATTTAAATAATTATTAGTCAAAATTACTTTTATAAAATCAAATACACATTAAAATCAATTTTATTAAAATATTATATGAATCATCAAATTTTAAATAACAGTTAACATTTACTTGTTTTAGAGAGAAAATCCATAGTATTTTGATGAAAAAAATAAATTTCCACCTTTGTTTAAATTTAAAAAATTAAAAGTAAAAAAATATTCCTAATCTAATTTATTCAGCTTTAAAAAAATAAATAAAACATATGATTTTACTTTTAAAAAGTATTAATAATCCTTAAAAACCTTAATGTAATAATTTAACATAAATTTAAATTTAAAAGATTGTCTAGGATATTCTAGAAACTTAGTTTTAGAAATATTATTTATTTATTTGTTTTAAATTATCCAAAAAAATCACTTTTATATTAAAGTATTCAAACATAAATTATTTTATATTCAATTTATTTATATTTAAAACAATTTATTAAAAGTAATTTTACAAAATAACATACACATTAAAATCAGTTTAATAAATTATATTATAATATTATATGTATGATTCATAACATTTTAATAGCAGTGAGAATATGGTTGTTTTAGAGAGGAAATCCATAGTATTATTTGGATTGAAAAATATAATTTCCATTTTTATTTAATTAAAATGAAAATATTTATATTCATTTCCTTAGCTGGCAAAGCCTCTGAACCTTGACTGTTTAGTTGAGTGGCAGTGACTAAGACATATTTTAATTATGGCAACAGTTATTGTACATCATACACCAGCACATAAGATGCACCTTCATTATTATTCTAAAACCCTTCAATATTTATGAAATTACAAACCACCCCCTCAATTTCAGTTATCTCTTATCTGTCACGCATTCAATCCACATTTTCCAATTTCCAAGACAAGTTTCACATGAAAAAACGTCTAGAAATGAGTCAACTCAGTCTTCTATTACAAGAATCGTTATTCGTTACAAAATAAAAAAGGTAGAATCTTGAAGCGTTAGATTAAAATGGTAATAGATAAGATCAACGGCTGAAAGTGTTTGAAGTTGATACACTGCACAGTAGACAGAAAAAGTTAAACTCTGGGACAGAAATTAGTATAAAGTACAGTGCAGTGGGTATTGTTGGTGGTGCCTCAAGTCTTCGAAGAGATACTCAAAACTCAAATCTAGGGTTTGGACTTTGCAAAAGAAGATGAACTCTTCACTCACCTCATTGTGCTAATCGAGTTCAATAATTTCATTTTCCATTACTTCATTGCAAGGATTGGATTGTAATTGATTTGATTATAGACAAATTGAACTTCAAAGTTTGGGATTTTTTTTCCGATGGAGAGGTCTAGATCTAAACGGAATTACTACTATGACCATGAATATGATTCTGAAACCTTTGCGAGAACTAGGCCACGCTATAACCCCCACAACCACCACCATACCAGCTCCTACCGCCACCGTGGCGCCGGTGAACGCGGCGGAGATCGCGGCGGCGGACGACATGTTAAGACCCATGACTCACCGTTAACGGTGACTACTAGTTACCGCATTCTTTGCCAGGACTTGAAGGCCGGCGGTGTGATTGGGAAGTCTGGCTGTATTATTAAGTCGATTAGACAGCACACCGGCGCGTGGATCAACGTGCATGAGCCGGTAGCTGGAGATGAGGAGCGGATTATCGAGATTTCTGACACGCGCCGGCGGGATCCGGATGGGAGGATGCCGTCGTTTTCGCCGGCGCAGGAGGCGTTGCTGCTGATTCATGACAGGATTTTAGAGAGCGATCCGGGGTTTGGCGAGGACGAGGATGAGTACGGTGGCGGAAGAGGTGGTGGTGGGGGCAAGCGGGTGTCTAGTAGGTTGATTGTTTCGAAAATGCATGTTGGATGTTTGTTGGGAAAAGGAGGGAAGATAATTGAACAAATGAGGATTGAAACGAAGACACAAATTAGGATTCTACCTAGAGATCACAATCTACCTCGCTGTGTTGCCTTGTCTGAAGAGATTGTTCAGGTGCCATAACAGTCTTAAATTACATGCATGATCCTAAAGCCTTCATTTTTCTATGGACAATGGAGTTTTCATGGACTGGTTTATATATGCTTAAATATTGCTGAATGCTCAACAAACTGAAGATATTAATGCCATTTTCACGTTTCACTCTTGTGTTTACTTCTCAGAGACTAATGAATTAACTCACCTAGTCATAACTCATTTTTGATAAGCCATCAATGACATTTGAAGCTCCTTTATTAATTTGAGATAAAGAGCTTAATGAAAAATATGGAGGCCATTCTAAAGATCTAATGTGATATATACTTGCAATGTTGTTTAAACTGAAGACTATTAATTGTGTGCAGGTTTCAGGGGACATTCATAATGTGAAAACTGCTTTTCAAATCATATCTTCCCGGTTGAGGGAGAGTCAGCATCGAGACCGAAGTTTGGGTGCTGGTGGTGGTGGTCATTTCCATGGACGAGGATATTCGCCAGAGCGTTATTACACCCCTGATGATGATTATGTTCCTCATCTGACTGGTGGTTCGAGGAGATCATCTGTGGAGAGGGCTGGTTTTGGATCTCGAGCAGCTAACACCAATTCCAGAAACAATAACCGGAACTCGTTAGGTTATGCAATGGATAGAGGGGTTTCTCCTGTGGCTGATGATGGACAACCCGTCTATGAGGCCCTTGTTTTTCGTATACTTTGTCCAGTTGATAGAGTTGATCGTATTGTTGGGGAATCAGATGGAATTATGGGGCTTCTTCAGAATGAAGTTGGCGTAAATGTTAAGGTCGCTGATCCTGTTGGCGGTTCAGATGAACAGATGGTTATCATTACTTCAGACGAGGTACATTCATTCTCTTGTACTCTCTGCCTCTGTCTGGTCTGGTGTGTATAACTAGTGCAAATTCTATAAGGTCTCTGATTCAGATTAGTAGTAGTGTTCTAGTTCTAGGGAAAAATACACTTCCCACCTAAATATTCAATGTTTTAAATGTATATCAACATGTTTCACATTGATGTAATATGTATGTATCATATGCTCAAGGTTCTAACTCTTATTATTTTGTAATTAAGGGTCCCGATAATTCGATGTTCCCAGCTCAGGAAGCTCTGTTACATATACAAACCTGCATTGCTGATCTTGTTCTAGATAGGGATAATATAATTACCACCAGGCTTGTTGTCCCTAGAAGGGACATTGAATGCTTAGATGGGAACAATGCATCACTGTCTGAAATAGGGAGGTTGACTGGTGCAAGTATTCAAAGATTGCCTAGAGAAGAACTACCGCCCTGCGTTGCAAACACTGATGAATTGGTCCAGGTGTGTCATTTTATCTTCAACTTACTGAAGTATTCTATATTCTATTAGATTCAGTTGGTAAATGTAGTCTGAGCTAGTATTGAGAACCTGTGCACCGGGAGAAAATCGTTCAAAGAATATAATGTTAGTTATATTTTATAATTTTTTGTGCTTAGTCATTGCAATCTGTAACAAAAAATCACAGTATCAGATTAGGCACACATTGACGACATTTAATAATAAATCACATATGTGGTGTCAGACATGAGCGAGTTGAAATTAAATAATATAAGGTGATGTGACAACAATGAATTTATTAATTGATGATAGATCTTATCCTTAAAAGCATCATACTGAGCTAACATGTATCAAATTGTCTTGTCACTAATTGTACAAACCAAACAATGTATACATCGTATAGTTTTATTTGGCTTTTGTTATTAGGTGAGAGCAAAGATCTAGTATTGAAATTATGCTTTTGTTCATTTCTCAATCGCTTCCCTATTGCCTTGTACAGATTGTGGGAGAGATAAAAGAAGCTCGGGATGCTGTTCTTGATGTGACTTCAAGATTAAGAAGTTATGTCTATAGGGATTTCTCACAAAGGGACACAGTACCTCCATCTGCCCCCTTTCCTGGTGTGGAGGCATCTTCTCATAATATGGCTACAGTAGCTGAAACTGCCACTAGCAATCAAAACATGCAAAGTGTGGCAGTAGCCCTTGCGTCAAAGGTACTCTTTTGCAAGGTCTATCTTCACAATTACCCATCTATTATTTATGTGTCTGGCACTTGTGAGATTCATTGGCTAGCCTGAGTTTTTTTGCCCCCTACTAATGATGCACGATTTCAATAAGACATGGCAAATGAGACTTGGAAGTGTTTGTGTTGCACAATCCCAATTTTTTTATGTGTTGAGTTAATAAGAGTCATAAAAAAAATGTGTCTGTAGCATTTGATAGGTTCCCCCCCTATTGATGCATGAATTCAACAAGACATGGCAAATGAGACTTTGAACGGTGTTTGTGTTGTATATTCCCAATTTTTTGTCTGTGTTGAGTTAATAAGAGTCATGAAAAAAATGTGTCTGTACTGTAGCAGTTGATAGATTAAGCCATCACGTGAACTTATTATAAACTAATATTATCTGAAAGAATAAGCTTTTTTTATATTTAAGTTTGCAATTTACCAACTCACATGTGTTCCACAGGTTTGGGGAGCCAAATCTTATAAATGAAACAGCTTGGGCCACTTTGTAGATATTTGTTTTTCGTTTGAAGGCAAAAAAACTAAATTTTTTTCCCCTTCTTTTTGAAAGGAAACTGGAGGATCTAGCACTGAGTCGGGAAAGCAGAAAGAAAATGACCGCCGTGATGATCTGCCTAGTGGTTTAAATAGGTAACTTCCTCCTACCTTAAAATGTTTGATATTTATTTAGTCAGCAGTGACTTGCCAATGTTTTTATGCTCTTCCCCATCACTAATAGTTTTCCGCCCACCTTTTTGTTTGTTTGATCAGGACCGTGTCTCTTGTCACAAGGAGTATACTTGAAGTTGTCATACCCGAGTATGCAGTTCCAAAGCTTTTAGCAAAATCTAAAAGCAAGCTTGCCCAGATAAGTGAGGTGCGTGCGGTCAGATCTTATTATCCATACTCTGTAAATCATGCCATTATATTAGTATTTTAGATTTTATAGAAAGCTTATGTTTTAACTGAAACAGTTATCGGGAGCCAGTGTAACGCTTATAGAGGATAGACCAGATGAGAAAGAGAATATTATTCAGTTATCCGGTACTCCAGAGCAGGCAGAGAGAGCGCAGAGCTTGCTCCAGGGATTTATTTTGAGCAGTAAGTCATCTCTTGATACTTGTTAGACATTTCTATGCATCAGTTTCAGTTTTTTAGTCGTGTTCTTGTAAATTGACATGTCATTATTTTTCTTGCAGCCCAAGAAGATGGTCCTTAAGCGATGGTTGTACCAAAAGCCGGTCAGTCTAATGAATCGTTTCATTAATTTTGTTGTATGGGGCATTTTGTTCCATGCACTGATCGGTTTTCCATACTCTACAATTGGTGACTCTTAGAATTGGGATTTTTGTAGAGAGAAGCATGCTACTGTAAATGTTACAAATAGAGCTTCTCTCTTAATTTTTTTAATATTTTCAGCAAGTACTTGGTAGCACTTGCTGCTTACATTGGAGTGTTTTCCTGATCTATTAATTTACTGATCAGGCCATCAAAAAAGTTTTCTTTGAACGGTTTATATGTTTTTCTTCTTAAGTTTCAATCGTATGGTTTCCAAATAATCGCGATTACTCGGCTGCAGCAACAGTTGTATGGTCAGTTGCAATGGCTATCAAATCACCTTATTTAACAATACCCTTTTAATCACAAATCTGAATGAAATAGCAAATTGGAATTCATTTCTTTTTCACCACAAATCACTTAGCAAAACTGAGTCTGCACAGAAGTTAGACATGTGAAGTTGGTACCTAGGGCTAGGTGATTTCAGATGGTGAAATTTAAAAATGAAAAATAGATACAAAAATAGCTCTATTTTATTTTTTGATGATTAAAAGTTTTGGCATTTTGGGTTTTTGGATTTCGTTAATGTTAGGAAAAGCCACAAAAGCCTTGGCATGTGTTTGGAATCACGGTGGGAACAAAAGAAAACGCGCGTCTACTAGAAGCTTTAGTTAGTAGCTTCTTTATTTCCACGGTAAAAATTAATTGCCACCGTGATTTTATTGAGGCAAACGGGAAACCAAACACATGCTCAGTATTTTTTGTTTTGAAAAATCAATGCTTAGATAATGTTGATAGAGTAGTTACCTGGCTATTACCAATTAGCAAGTTTTTTACATAGGTGGTGAGATTCTGACACATTTGTTTTTGAAGTTTTATTAGTGAGATGTCACATTTGTTTTTGAAGTTTTATTTGTGAATTTGGAGGAAATGAAGAAGATTTTGGATAAAAAGAAAGCAAAAAGAGAAATGAGAACAAAATTGTCTTTTAATTTGAATAAAGAGATTTGTTTTTCTTAACATAGATTCTTCATAAACAGGGAGATTTTAAAGTTGTATTGAAAAAGGTTTTTAGAGTTTAGATAAAATTTTCATATTTAATTTACAATTCCTTTTTTAAAGTGGGCTTTTTTTATTTTTTCCCTTGCATTTGTTTTCCTTCTTTCAAACTTATGATTATTATTTAAGGTTATGATTGGATTTATGAAATGGAATGAAATATATTTATGTTCTATTGTTTATATTGATAATTATATTGATAAAAAGAAGATGGAATAAAGTGGAATGAGATTGAATGCAATTTATCATTTTTCTCTATTTTTGTACCATTTAATTTGGATAGAATTGTGGGGTGCAGTCTCCCTAACAAGTGGTCTCCCTAATAAGTGGTGGGAAAGAGGGAGTTGAATCTTGGGTTGGATTTTTTTATAGAATATGAAGGACTTTCCCTCGTAAGTAATATTATTTAATGTAAGTGTGACTGGTTAAGTTTCACATTGTTTATGAAGAGTGAAATATTGGATTTATAAGATTGAGAATTTATCTTATAATTTTTTGGTGGAGACGAGACATCTCCTTTTCTTATGGTCCTAGAGTATTGGATGTCTGATGTTTCTCCCGCCTCCTCATGTCTCTCTAACAAGTGGTATTAGAGTCTGATTAGGTTTGGTAGGGAACTGGGAGTTGGATCTTGGGTTGGATCCTATTGTAGGATGTAGAGAACTTACTTGTGGGAGGGAGATGGTTTAGTGTAAGTGTGAGTGATTAATTTTTACATCATCTATGAATAAGTAAAATATTTGATTTATAAGAGAGATGAAGTACTGGACACCCGTTGTTGCTCCAATCTCCTCCAATCTCTTCAACAAGAACAACAATATTGTTATATTCCATCATAAAATATATAAACAAGGAAAAAAAACTTTATTCTCTTTCATTTCGGTCACTTTGTTTAAAGTATTCAAACATAATTTAAAAGATTTGAGTTGAATGTTTATCCACGGTTACGAAATTGAGTTTTTATTCCGGCTGAAACAAAACTTTTACTTTAGATTGAAGGACGGGGTAACGAATGGTGTGATAGAAAATTCGTCATTTTTCTCTTCGGTTAATTTTTTCACATGTGGAATCTTCAACTTTTTCCATTGATTGATTTTTTCACCAAGGTGAAATTAACAACTACAAAACCATTTTTTAGGATTAATTGCAAGAACATATAAATGTTTTGATAGAGGTTGATTCCTTAATATAATTTGTTCGTTCATTTATAATTGTTAAAATTATTTTCTTTAATACATACTTGTTATGTTTAATTTTGTTAGAAAAACATGAATCTAGCTATTGTAAAGTTTTAATATTTCTAACAAGAACAACAATCAACATTCTTAATTTAGATTCATGCTTTTCTAACTAACACCAAACATTTTTAACAAATATTCATTTAAGAAAATAATTTTAGCAATTACACGAGAATATATATTAAAGAATAATGTTGTATTTCATGCAATGTTTTTATTATAGGTGTATTTTATTATCAACGTTTGCATTTCAATAATTTGCATCTAAGATAAATCATTGCGGTATTTAAGTTCAAATTGGTTGGATAGATTTCATGCGGATCACTGATGTTTCATGTGGATTAATGAGTTGATAATGACTTGACTGTTGTTACTTTATAAATAGACGACAAAAACTCATTAGTTATAACAAAAAAATAATTTCTCTTCGGTTGCCAACACAATCCAAAAAATAGATATTAAATAAATAAAAAATACACTAAAATATAATGACTGAGATTCAATAGGTGTTAATCAAAACATTTTTCCTCGAGCCAACTAAAGGAGTAGTTATAAATAAAAGAATGCTTAAATCTAATTACTAGGATTCGAAAAGGTTGATCATAATCTTTTTTCTCGATTGTCAGCACAATCAAGAGAATATATAGTTTTTTTTTTTAAGTTGAAATGTGGCATGTCTATAATTTAAACTTCAATTGTTTATTGGTTGAGATTAAAACGTTGTCATAAAATATATTACGGTTAAATAAATACCTTCTACCCCCTGTAATAGTAGCGATATTTGATTTACTTCTCTTTAAAACAAATTCGTTTCGCCCCTCAACACACATAGATTTCATAACCAAAAACCTTTTAGCCCAAGATTCCATTTAAAATGCAAACGTGACCATGATTTATTTTCTGACTGGGCTTCGAACAAAGAAATGCTGACATGGAATTGTTGCTTTAGTAATGTAAAACGCAAACAAAAAAATATTCCCAAAATTTGAAGTTCCATGGGATTCGAATCCATGAACACTTGAGTGTTCTAACATTCTTCCATTCACTCGGTCAATTATTGTTTGTTGAACATGTTTACTCAAAAATAAATTAATAAGAAAGCCAGTTAATTATAACAACTTAGAAAATTCCATCTGCATCTTCTTCCCCAATTTGCAGAGCTTCATTTTTACATTAACTATTATTGTGTAATGTTGATTGAAATAAATTGACACTCAACCAAACATGTTGTACTGAAGCCTGAGATAAGAGAAGACCAACTACTTCCAGGTTTCATTTTCAAGGAGTTAATGTTGGAGGTATTTCAAAGTTGCATATGTAAAATTACAGGTGCGATTTCGCGTGAGAAGAAGATGGAAAGTCGGTGTTTGAAGTTAAAGGATGTTGAATCGAACCGTGACAATTGAATGAAAGACGAATGTTGAGCGACGAATGAAGTATGAATCAAAAAGCGCTGGCGACGGGAGATTAGTATTGTTGAATAAAAATCGAAGAAGGTTGATTCGCTAAAGATGATGATGGAGATATGGGGAGTACTGTTGTTAAAGGTGAGTTGATTTGTTAACAGAGAGAAGATGATGGCTTATGGAGGTAATACGGAAAGTGTGAAGGTGATGGATGGTGATGAACATGATGAAGATGTTGAACAGAGGGAGATATCGCAGAATATGGGTTATGGTATGGGAGCACAACTATGCGCGGAAGAGAGGAAGAAGTTTTTCGTTTGATTTTGATATGCCCTAATGTAAAGATGAAGCTCTGCAAATTCAGGAAGAAGATGCAGAGCAAATTTTCTAGGTTGTTATAATTAACTGACTTATTATTAATTGATTTTGGGGTAAACATGTTCAACAAATAATAGTTGACTGAGTGGTTGGAAGAATGTTAGAACACCCAAGTGGTCATGGGTTCAAATCCCATGGAACTTCAAATTTTGAGAATATTTCTTTGTTTGAATTTTACATAGCTAAAGCAACGATTCCATGGGCTCGAATCCCATGGAACTTCAAATTTTGAGAATATTTCTTTGTTTGCATTTTACATGGCTAAAGAAAAAATTCCATATCACCATTTCTTTGTTTGAAGCCCAACCAACAAACAAATCATGCCCACGTCTGCATTTCAAATGGAATCTTGGACTAAAAGGTTTTTGGTTACAGAATCTATGTTTGTTGAGGGGCGATTTTTTTTAAAAAGAGGGTAAATCAAATCTTGCTACTATTGCAGGAGAGTAAAATATTTAACCCAATATATTATTAGTTGTGTGATTAAACAAAAATTTACTTCGATGAAAATAACTCTTTCTAAATATTTTTTCATAAATTTTTTCCATAACATTAGAATATTAAATTGAACACCTTTTTTAATTATGATTTAAATTTTGATTTGCATTGTAGAAATAGTCTTATTAGCCCTCATCTTTAGTGAGGTGGGGTAAAGTAAAATGTATATGAAATTAGGGAAATAAATTATCCATTTTTATATATCACTTTAGATTCTCTCCATCAATATTTTTTTTATTCTCTCTCCTTTCTTTTCTATCTCTCTCTTAATGTCATTCTCTCTCTTGATAATTTTATATTTTTAAAGATGAGTGAGAATGAAATTAAGAGAGAGATAGAGAGAAAAGAGAAAGAATAAGAGA